AGCAGCTGCTTGCAGGGCTGGCAAACAACAAGACTTTGACCGAGCTTGATCTCCGCCACGCAGAGGTGGAACAGGAGACAGATTTCCGCATTCACAAAATTGTGTGGGCCAATCGGGAAGCAGTGAGGCTGGCATCTCTGCAGCACCCCAGCACTGAACCCCTCTGAATAAAGTGCTTCAGGGAGCAATGGGCTTTGGGTGTGCAGTCTTAGAAACACTCTACTTCAAGGTCTTGGTTTTATTTGCTTTCCCGAGAAACACAACTTGTGGCTGCCACCGTAGCCACATCATCCAACCTGTGACTTCATTGGAGACAGACACTTGATCTCAAGGCACTGTAGTGGCACCACAGAGCAATCTGCCTCTTAAGCCCTCTCTCTCACTGCACCCTAAATCTCACCTCCTGTGATGCTTTTCTGTGCTCCAGCAGCAAGCTTATTTCAGGCAAGTGAATATTGTTTCACCTGTAAAGCAGCAAAGATGAAGTCTCTGCCACCTAAACAGTCTAGTCCAGACCTAACTTTAAGGCTTTGCTGAGGAGCATGTGAGAAGCATAGAGGATTGAGGCAATGTTGTTTCTAGTTCCTCAGCAGCTTTTTCTGGCTATTGCTCTGCTCAATAATCTATTTGAATTTATAGTAAATCTCTCTGGAGTCTGATATGGGTGGTGAAAAGTAAATGGAAATAAATTCAATAACTCAAGAGGTCTCACTACTGTAGTTTCCTGCTTTGGGCTGCTCTGCTTTTAATCAGTGCTAGCCTGCTTTGCAACAGGTGAATTCTTTACCACCAGATGCTTATCTTACCTAGTAGTGCTCTTCTGTGCAAACCTGTCCAAAGCAATCTGTGTTTTGCATAACTTCAAGCTAGAGGGGTCCCTTCAGGACTGCTGGCCCACATAGCTCACAAGTTTGAAAACAGTGCAGCTTCCTTGGGCTTGGAGCAAAATGGAGCAGCTTCCTTTTGCTCTACAGGCTGTAGTCACCTGAGGATGGGACAAGGCACATACTTGAGTGAGTTGGTCCACTGACCATCCTGCTCAGGAGATATCAGGGAATTAAGCAATGAGTTGATTTCCATCCCCTCCCACCCTCTGGGCAACGCAGGAGCTTCCCATGCCTCTGAGCCCTGCCCAACACCACAGAACCCACTGATGGCAACCACCTCAGTGAATCATCTGAAACTTTTATTACACCGATTTGGTTTACAATCTTTGTACTTTGATATTTCCAACAAAAAAGGCAACATTGTGATATACTGTTTGTACATATATAGAGAGACAGACAGAGCTAGATCATATTGACAGAGTTGAAAAGTAAAAACCGTTTCCCAGTGTTCACAAAAGGATTTGTTCACCACGTACCCGCTTCTGCCTTGCCCTGCCTGATGGATACAGACACCGAGGTGCCGCTGGCCCCTGGCTGACAGGACCTTTACCTGCACCGTGTCACGCCCACATAGATCAGAAAGGATGGAGTGCAGGGCTGCCCTGGCAGCAGAGGTGCTGACAGGGCTCAGCCCCAAGCCCTCACAGGTTTGTGTAGTCCCTTCCCAACTGCTGATGGATGCTCCAGGGGCTACGTCCAGAAGAATTCCTAACCAGCAGTAGCAGCTGTGAAACCTCCCTACCTGGGCAACTCCCACTACTTGTTTCCCATCCTCGAGACCAAGGTATTGAATATACTTATTTATTTTTATTTGCATTTACAAAATATTTTCACTGGATGACACACCTCAATGAGATGAGAACTCATGTTCAGAAACAGCAGAAAAGACCCAGATCAGCAACAGGCTGATGAAGCAACAGCTCCAGCAGCAAGGGTGGGGGTTTAATGGGGGTGGCCTGGTCCTAGGCAAGCCTGCCTGTGGCTCCAAGGAGCTGCAGCTGGTCAGCCAGTTGTGCAATGAAAGCTCATGCTTGGAGGGCAGCAATGAGATCCTGCAGACATGCTAGCAGACACATGAGGAGGAACTGGCCACCAGAGCCAGTGAGGACAAGGGACGGAAAGAAAAGGGCTTGGGAAAACATGTCATCACCAGAACAACTTCTGACTTGCTTTCCAGGAGCTTTTTTCACTGCTCATTTTCCTCCTAACAGCTTGAGACTGTTAACACCACTTAAGCACCCTTCAAACGCACTCCTGGGCTGCCGCATGCAGGAATGCCTGGACGGGTAGCTGTTGCCTGGAGAACTCTTTGCCTTCTCTCCCATCCATCTCTGGGCCAAAAAGCAAAGTCCAAACCAAGCGGCCTGCAGCACTTGCCCACACCCAAGACCAACAGTCAACTATCTGCCAGTCTGCAAGGGTTGAAACCATTTCAAATGCCACACACTCTGGTCAGACAGCAACAGCAGATTGTTGGAGTGTGAACATTCCTGCTGCTGGTGGGTCACTTGTCAGCTCCGGGTCCAGCCACCACGGGGTGGGTAACTAGCTGGTCACTGTGCTGAGTGCAGGGCCAGAACAAACCTTAGCTCTCCCATGAGGTCTATCTCCAAGGCAGGCTCTGAGGAGGGGGGCGTCATTTGTGGGCCTCTGTCTGGAGGAGAGAGCGAGCTTGGGCACTGCCACCACTCCCAACACAGCATCAGCAGCACTCAGCAGTCAGGCTGGGAGCACCCCCTCACCCACCTCACGGGTGTGTGCCAGAGGGATGGTGAGACAGGGCTGGCCGGAAGGCAGAGAAGGGGGAAAGGCCCTTGGGCTCTCCCCCGGGCTGAGCGGGGCGTGTCCCATCAGGCCGGAGCGGGGCACCCGGCTGGCTCCCTCCCACAGCAGATGGCAAGCCCGGCTCCCGCAGCTCTGAGCAGAGCGCACACGGCAGCAGGAAACAGTGGCCAGCTTCCCAAGCCTGGCGGTTTCTGCTCACAGAGACCCAGGCATCGATTTGCAAGGTGTCACACTGGCATATGTCACAAACAGGATGGCAGGTTGATTTTGAGCACCGACTTGGGGAGGAGGAGCAGGCTGCCACAAGGATGAGCAGAGGCTGTGCACAGAAATGGTTGCTGTGTTCAGCCTCCCTTTGCTCCCATGGACTGGATTTGTCTAGGCTGAGCTGTCCCTGCCCGTTTGATACCTGCTGGCCCTCTGCACAGTCAGCCAGGGTGCTGGTGGCTGGGTTCATACACAGGGGGGTGCTGAAAATGGGGGTCCTATGCGCTGCCTGTGGGACAGCACAGTAGGGTGAGGAGGAAACAGCACGCTTCTAAAACATAGTGCCAAGCATTCCTGCCCTGAAACACATGCAGACAACTAACACAAGCTCTCCCAGTCACTGGGAACCCACCACTGTATTCCATCACCCCTACAGCACGTGTGCCCCATGTCCAGCAGCTTCCCTCCAACCTCAATCACCTGCTAGCCCCATGTACCACCCTGCTGACATGGCAATTTTGGCTAATCTAGATCCTTTCATGCTTCTTCAGTTGCAGTGAAGAGGGATGAAGCCTGAGCTCGTGTAGCTGGGAAGATGGGAAGTGGCACAGAGCCAAGCCCTGCATCGGCTTCCCTAGGTGGAGGGGACGGCTCAGAAATGAAGCGTTCCTCCTCCCTACAGGGTATGCCTGAAATAGCCAGGCTTGTCAGATCCCTGTCTCTGGCTGTGATGGATTAGCCTCTCCAAGGCACAAGGCAATTTATTCATTAGTGACATTTACACCTTGTGGCCATCGTGGTTGATGACACGTGCTCAAGCTGTCACTGCTGGGCTTGGAGGCGGCATTGCTGCTCCAACAACGCAGTGCGACATGGCCTGGGCACCTCAGCTTGGGAATACCTCCTGCCTTCTCCTCAGCCAGAGCATGCACAGATTGCCTTGAAAGCCCACTCTGTTCCTGAGCTTCTCTATCAAATGCCCTGCTCCATTTCTCTCCCACCCTCCCTGCCTTGCAGCACCATTGCTCCAACACTGCATCCTCCTGCCCCATTTTGCCTTCTGTCTCCTGTAAAAACCACCACTTTGCAAAGCCCTTTACAGATGTTCTCAACCATCTCTCTTCCTCGCATGTGTTGCTGAGCATTCACATCCTCTTGTGCCCTCAGTCAGCGGCCCTCAGCCCCAGCAGAGCGCACAGAGCCCATGTTTGCAGACTTCTCCAGGAGATATGCTGCTTTCACCATGATGCTGTCCCCTGCTCCCTCACTGCCACAACAGCTGACCTGCCTCTCCTCTCCTCCCTGGTCTGGAGACCAGGACCACCAAAATATCAAGGCCTTCTGTCTTCTAACTCAGGACAAGTGCTGTGAAATTCTCTGGGAAAGCACCAAGTGATGGCAAGATGTGCTGCGGTTGCTCTGCAGCAAGCAAGCAGTGGGCACGCCAGGGCAGTGAGCGCTGCTGGAAGGCTGTGCGCAGGCAGGGATGGTGAGGTCTGGCCACCAGCATGCCTGTGGTCATCATGCATCTGCTGGCATTCCACAGGACTCAGCAGGGAAGGACCAAAATGATGGGAATGCACAGCCTCGGAGGAGTTCAGGGGAGGGGAGTGCTTTGGCTAGCTCAGAGGAATGACAGTTTGCACATCAGGTTTGGGCAGGGTGAGAAGAGCTGGAAAGCGTTGTCCAGGGAGCAGATCCGGCAGCTCTCCAGTTTCAGACAGCCAGCAATGGATTAGCTTGTTCTCAAACACAGCTTGCTCCATGCTTTTATCCCCACTCCCTGCCACTCTCTGCAGCAAATGTGATGCTTCACACCATCTCCTCACAGAAATCAGGTCAGGAGTTTCCTCTCACAAAGAACAAGCAATGCTCTGTCACCCTGAAAAGCCCTTGCTGCAACGGTGGATGGGTGTCACCACACCAAAGCCATAAACATATCAACCCTCTGCAGGGCCACAGATCCCAGCTGTGCAGGAGCATGCAGAACCCCACCCTGCCATATCTGGGTGGATAGCCACATCACACCTCCAGAGACAGAGAAAGATTTTAAACTCTGGCCTCTGTTCCTGATCAACCTATGCCACTGCAAAGCCACAGGGCCACCATCCTGATATCCTGATCTACTTTGGGCATTACTTCTCCACCAGCATGGCACATTACTAAGAGATGGAAGGAGTGGAGAGTGTAAACCCACATCATCACCAAAAATCTTTTTTTTTTTTTTTTAAGCAAGGAACAGCAATGTGAAACACTTCTAACAGCTGTTAAGGCCTTCCTGTGGCATTTCAGTTTGAAAAAGCCATTGGCATTCCCAAAGCGAAATCCTGTTATTTTGGGGTCTGGCTGTCACTGCTGTTTCCCCAGCGAGCTGAGCAGTGCTGCTCCATCAGACACACTGCTGCTCTCACTCCCCTCGGCTCAGCCCCTGGGGACAGGCTCTTCCTGGGGGCAGGTGCAGCACAAACAGAGCCCACCAGCTCCTGCCGGGGCTGAGCAGGAGGGGATGCCTGCGTTCAGCTGATCCTCCCTCTGCATCTGCTTCTGGAAATGTGCATAGACTCAGGCTTGGGATTTTCCAAATTTTCACCCTGACTGGTTCATGGGCTGCCATCCAAAGTCTGAATTCATGTCACGGCAGCTGACGGCGCTGCTAATGGACGTTGGGACCATAGGACTGGTACAAAGCACTACGTCATCTCACCACATTCTAGCTAGGCTTTTTCTTTCACTAATGTGAGTAGCTAAGATTGCAGAAGCAGCTTGTGCTGATGGAGAGTGAAAGAACCTCATGTGTCTGTGTGTGAAGTTATTTTGTTCTACAAAATCCACTAATTATAACCACAGTAGGTGATCCATCCATTCACAGAGTTCGAAGGACTGGGGAGGGTTCAGGATGGGCACCAATTTCTCACGAGCTTCATTTCCCCCAAATGAAGTTTACAAAAACCAAACAAACGAACAAACAAACAAAATGGCCCAACAAAAAGAGTCTTCCTGGGGAATGGGGGAGGAATAAAACCCACTTAGCTTTCCAGCAGCCACTGTGCTTATTCTGGATGGCCATGCTGCACACTGTAATGGGCTCCTGAAAATCTGGCAGCTTCTGGAAGAGTTGCATAGGTGGATGATATACCTGTTAGTAGAGCCTGTTCACGAGCCGCAGGAAGAGGAGCCTGTTGAACTCCACAGGGAAATGTCCCTCCCCCAAGACAGATATGAGGTAAGGAGGGAAGGAGGAAGGGCAGGCCACGAGGCCATGGGTCTTGCAGGTTCAGTTCTGTCCTTGGGACCTCTTTGAGCTCAGAGGCAGAAAGGCTGTGGTCCTGTGGGAGAAAGCTCCTCTCCCGGTGCTGTGGAGGTCAATTTGCTTGTTAGCTTGCTTTTGAGGGAGTTGACGAGATCACATCCATAATGTTCCCCTTGGCAGAGCAGCTGTGAGGCAGTAGAGCAGAACAATTCAACCCACTGCTTGTAGAAACTACAGATATTCAACATTCATTCATGTTGGCCAAGTCCCAACACAAAATCTATGCAGCAAAGCAACACTGTGACAGATCAATTTTTCAGGACTCAGGGACAGACCCCTGTGAGGAGCAGCTAAGCCAACCTCACATTAGTATAGTACCACTGGCTTCAGTAAAATTACCCTAGGAATGAACATAGCCCATTAATTTCTACCTGAAGTGTGACTATGACCCCTTTCCATTTTTTCCAGAATGCCCACAGGGAAAGCAGCCCTAGGCAGGCTCAGCCTCAAGTCCCCACGGGGGTCCCAGGTGCTATGAACCAGCCTTAGGTCCCCATGCATACCTGGCTCAGTGGAGAGTGTAGGCCCAAGTGCATCACAGGAAGCAGCAGCACCAGACAGAGCTATCACTTGAACTACATTTCATTTCTGACATTACCTGGATCCGGATCATGTTCCTACAGACTTTATTCTAACCACTGAATGTGAATGAAACACAATCAGAAGGACATACCCCACCTTGAGACTCACAGAGCTTTGGTAACACAACATCCTGGTGGTGGTGTGGCACTGCAGACCCAGCCCCTAGAGCGACTGCAGCAGAGCAGGAGCACACTGCAGCACAGTCTGTGCCCTGCTAAAGGCAGCACCCTGGTGACATTAGACAGCACTACTGAAGCCATGGTTGGAAAGGCTGGAAGGAGAGCTTAAAAGGGATTATTTGTCCCACCTGCTAATCAGCAGGTGTTGTTTAACTGGCATTGATGCTACCTATCTATCTTAAATTTCCACTTCATAAATATTTTCCTGCAGTTCTCACCCCATGGGCATCCACCAGTTATTAAACAACTCTGCAGCCTTTTGAGTGAAGAGACAGCAAAGAGGGCAGGGACCAGATAGATTTCTAAAGTGCATTTTATGGGGAGCAGAAAGGAAGGGGGGTGCATTTGATTGACAACAGATGAACAGCAGGATGGAAGGCTTGGCCTTGGCCATAGGCTCAGATTCCCTCTCCCCATCCTAATGAATGCCCCTACAGCTGCTCACCCTGACAGCCCTCTCTGACACATCCCTCCTTGTTGTGGAGTGAGACAGGACACACAGAGGGCTCAAAGAAGCACCACTTGGCTGGTTGGTGTCATCAACTGGTTCTGCACAAGCAAGGTGCTAGGCACTATCTGGGAAGCTTCTACTGTGCTGAAAGATAGATAAATGGGTGGTGATATGTCTTGATGATCAGGTAATCCAGAGCTTCTCACACACTTCTTTCTCTCTCTCTTTCTTTTTCTCTAGTTCAGAAAAGCTGGAGAGCTTTGAAGTACTTGACAAGTATATTGAAGAGTGGGAAACACCAAATAGCCCAAACCAATTGTCCAGCCTTGCAGCAGTAAGGACTATCCCCCTTCTGGGTTGCATTAGCACCATGAGGGGCCACAAAGAGGAGCTGGTAGCATTCCTGCCTCCCTCCTTCTGGTATATGAGGGAAGTCTGCTGCTAAGTGCAATGCTGAGCCTGACTCTCAGCCCATGGAAAACTGCAATGTTCAAATGATGTATGGAAAAAACCAAAGCCATCTGACTGCAGAGATCCTCCTAATTATTGCCCCCATCAAACTGACAAGCACCCAGCTCTGACCTTCCCAGAGGGTGATGTGTGCTGTCCTGCTTTCCTTGTGTAAGCAGCCAGCAGCTCCGTGAGCTCTGCTCACTTCAAAGAGATCTTCTGCACCAGGAATGAGGACACAGCCACCCTGACAGGCATTGACCAAGGCATTGCCTGCACCTTTGGCCCTCTGCCCGGGCCAGGCTCAGAGCAGGAGTGACATACTCACTACACAGTGAAAACTTCCACAGCACCGCTCAAGCCAGGGCCTGGCAAGTGAGATCAAGACTCTGGGCTTGGTGAAGAGAAGGCTACAGATAAGAGGCCTGCTTGTGTCAGGAAGGCCATGAGAAAAAGGAACAGAGCCAATTAGACTCACCAGTCAATGGAGGAGAAGTAATGGGATTAAGCTACAGCAGGGAGAACTCGGGTTAGATGTAAGGGAGAAGACTATCCTGAGAGGAGCAGATTGGGCCCTCGAATGAGCTGCCAGAGGAGCTGGCATCACCAACGTGGAGACGGCAGAGAGCTGAGACACATCTCAGGAAGAGCAGGCACCTGACTGCTGCACAGCCCAGAGCTGTGGTGGGTGATGTCCATGTGCCAGGAGATGGGACCACTCCACCACGGAGAGGCTGTGTGCCAGAACAAGGACAGGCCATCTCTGGGTATCTGTGCTCGTAGCCTGAGCCATAGGAGAATTACAGCAGCTGCCCTTGGCCCAGGGCACTGTGTTCTCTCACCAACACTTACGAGAAAACCCTCTTTTCTGGTAGTGTCCCGTGCCAGGAGTAGTGTCCCATGCCAGGAGACAGGAGGGAGAGCCCAGCTTTCTGCTCTGAACTTTCCTGCCGGACTAGACATGCCAGGATGAGCCCTAGTTTCAGTTTCTCCTCTTCAGCTCCACCACTTCTCTGTCAAGCCACCAGGCAGCTCCTGTTCCTGCTGCTCAGTCCTGCTCCCCTACCATGTCCAAGTGCACCACCTCCCTTTCCTGAGCCTGAGTCAAGTCTCCAGCCTTGAGAAAATGGAATGGGATGGACCAGGGGAGCAGTTCTACCAGGTGCACTTGGGTAGCACCAAGAATATGAGGGATGGGATCTCTGAGAAATCCTGGCATGCAGTGGGGAACACTGACTAGAGGGGTCCCACTCCTCAGGGTACTGTGGGTCTGGACCAGCCACAGACAGAAGCACTGGGACCTGGCTGCAGCTGGCACCAGGTACACGGGGAAAGTGTTCAGCAACAGAAAGACTCTATGGGTCCTGTGGGTCAGAACAGCAGCCGTGCCTCAAAGATCCACCTGGACAGACCACCTCCAGAATAATATTCCATAGGCGAAAATGGGGCCAGAGGAACAAGGCCAGGCATTCTCATAGAAAGCCCCAGAAAGAGCCAAGGACAGGTGCCTGAAACTCTGCTGCAGGTGCTAAAAGCTGGGGGGCATAGAGACCCTGCTAATCTGTTCCTGTTGTGAAGAATGTCTTTTCCCCCCGGGGAGATAAAAGGCCTGCCAAAACTGAGATAAATCCATCTGTCCAAGGCACCTTGGAGGCTGGAGATAGAAAGATGAGCCATTACAGCCTAATTTAAGCAACAGTGCAGATTTCAAAGAGAACATGTCAGGAAGGACAAGCGGGGACCTCATTCCTCACTAATGACCCATTGCAGCTCCACTGCCTCAATTCCCTGGGACATACAAGCACACACCATTATCTCCCTGGAGTCAGGAGAACGCTCCACACTGGCCTTGGCTTACATTAGGCCCTTGGAGAGAGGAGCACGAGTGCACAGCAAGCCAAATGTCATTACTAAGCAAGGAAATCCCAGGGCTGCTTTCGCCCAGTCTGAATCTATGCCAAAAATAATGAGAACAAAGTGCAGAGAGGGATGTGCCTACATCAGAGGCACATCCCTCTGTCCTCCAAGGGACCCTCTTCTTTAAGCCAACATCTAGCTCTGGTAGTGAAAGTAAGGGCAGAAGTAAGGGCTAAGACAGAATCATAAACACAGTGAGATTTTAAGAGACTTCCTGTTCAAACCACTGTTGTTTGTAGTTTAGCACCCCAGATCCAGGAGGACAAGCTGACTTGAAGGACAAGAGACACTAATCAGGATATGCAGGGCATAAAGAGCAGAACAGACTGCTCTGGGGAAAATGAAAAGTGGAGCCCTACAATGCCCACAGGTACTGACCACTCCAGGCTTGCCAGCAGGAGATGACTTTCAAAATTGCAGCCTCCTCAAGACCTGGGAGGCAAAGCAGTACAGCAGCACGATGAGAGAGACAGACCCCTCATTAATAGCTGGCAGGAGGAAGATGGCTGGACTAAATACAGTGCCTCACTGTTCTATGACAGATGGGGAGGCAGACACCAAGCACAATGCGCAGGTGACACTGGACTGGCCCTTGTCACCCCAGATGTGCTGCTCTTAGCTTTTGTTTGCCCCAGCTGATGAGGGAAGCAGGGTGAAGCTGAGGAATAGTGCTGGAGAAATCACTGGCTGACTTGGCATGCACTCCCCAAAGAGATGACTGAAAAGGAGACAGCTTTTCTGAGAACAAGGACGCAAGAAATCTGGGGATGTGTTGCTGGAGGAGGAAAAGCTGGGTGTGTGCATGCTGCAAACACTGTTGCAGCTTCAGTGACACAAAGTTTTTTTGCCCAATGTCACTGAGATCCTTTCCAGCAGGGTAGAAGGGGCAGCACAAAGCTAGAGCAACCTGCCCTGACAAGAGCAAGGCAGCAGAACCCAGTAGCTAATGAGCTAAACAGAAGAGTCACCTCACTTCTGACAGCCTGACACCTCCCTGCAAAAACCTGTTGTGCAAAATGTTTCACTTCAATCAGGTTTTCCTCTAACATATCCCCAGCCTCTGTTCTGCAGAACATCCCTCTTGGCAGTGCCTCCTGCACCGATAGTGGGGTACCACAGAAACAGAATCCTTTTGATCCTCCTTTCCCCAGCCAAAGTTCCCAATGCTCCAGCATGCTTTTGCATTTGTCCCTGCTATCCCCAGAGCTCTCTGCCAAAATGAAGCTTCCAGGAGCCTGCAGCTCAGACTCTATAGCCAGAGCCCAGCTGGATCTCATTCAAAATTCACTTGTGCAGACTTGCACTAACCTGCTGCTCCATTATCAATAGGTGAACTGTAGCTGAACCTACCAGAGACTTCCTTGATGCTTGGCTGAACCAATTAAGACTCACTTCAAAGCCAGGAAGGGTCCCCAGCCACTTGATGTGCCACCTGATACCACAATGTCTGTTCCAGTGCCATCCTCTTCCCCTTCCCCAGCTCACCAGGGGCCTCCCCTTTTCTCTTTCCAGCTGAGCCCTCCTCCAGCAAACACATCAGTAGCACTGCAGATCTCTGCTTCATCTGGATTTGCACATTCATCCCTTCCCTGGTGCTGCATGCCCAAACAGAAAACCCTTTACCAAGAGGATGCTGACTCACACCTGGCACACCAAAACTTCCTAAGGAGCTGAGCATGAGATCCTCTGGGGGCAATGCCATTCCCAGCAGTGAGAAAAAATAACAGTCGGAGCATGGTCTAAAAAAAAAGTGGAGAGGGTGGGGAACGGGCAGGGGGAAGGGGAAGAGGCGGATTCGTGGCTTTCAGCCTTTGCTCTAACCTGCCATTGAGCTCCACGTGCCTGGGCACCCATGACCTTCTGTCACAGGCAGCGACACCCTGCTCCAGGGGCCTGCTCTCCTCCACCCTGTCAGGGCTCTCGCTCCAGTGTGGGAAGCAGGGTGGACAGGGGTGCAGCAGGGTGCTTTTTGGTGGCTGCTGGTTCCTTGGAGCACGAGCCAGCCTGGAGCCAGGGCTGGGAGCCAAAGCCACCCCCTCCCTGCATCAGGCCTGTCGTTTTATTCCCCCCTTTGGGTCTTGATACCATGAATTATGGTTTTGCTGTTGGTTTGGTGGGGTTTTTTTTTTTTGCATGTGGTGATCGGTCGAGAGTTCTGTGCCATGTCAGGGGGAGCATCAGCATCCACCCCTCGGGGAGGTCAGAGCCACAGCGGGGGAAGCTTTTGCTGGCTGCCGGAGCAGGATGCCACGTCCACTCCATCCTGATGTCCTCCTGGGCTATCCCCCTCGTGCTCCTCTCCCCAAATCCTGCGCCGGCTCGGGCCGGGCAATGGACAATGAGATCTCACCGCCTTCTGCTTTCACAGTGAGGTCTCCACGCAGGACCCATTGCGATGGAGGTGACGGTGGTCGTGGTTCAGGCAGCCTTCGTTGCGGTGTACAATGAGGACGGGGAAGTAGAGGGCATCCTGATAAGGAGGGGGGTCTTCCTCCTCCACAGTCACCTGGCTGGAGAGGCGTGTCTGCTCGGTGGGGCAGCTCTGCTCGTTGAGGCTGCCGCTCCGGCTCTGCCAGAGGCAGCTGCGGCGCGAGCCATACAGGCGGCCCAGGGAGAAGCGGCTGCTGCTGAAGGGAATCCTGGGGCTGCCGTTGCAGATGCTCAGAGCGCTGCGGGAGAAGATGGAGGAGCTGCTTATAGTCCTGTGGCAGCGCTCGCAGTTCTGCCGGTAGCCCCCGTAGCGGCAGGCAGAGTAGCTGGTGCAGCCGGAGAGCCCCACCAAGTCCATCAGCACCGCTTCCGAGTAGCTGGGCACCAGCTGCTGGTTGGAGCGTATGTGCCACTCCAGCTCCGTGCTGTCCACCGTGTTGACACGGGGCATCCTCCGGCAGAAGGAGCGCTCCTCGGCCGGCGTCACCGCCACGTAATCGAACCCAAAGAGTTTTTCCACGTGGTAATGGACGTAGGAGGTGCGGTACTCATTTAGCACCCGCAGGGGCCAGGACAGGGTCAGCAGAGCTGCCACCCAGAAGACATAGTGAGATACGTACCAAGGCAGGTTGTCTGGGTCGGAAAAGGCCACCATGTATTCCTTGAAGTCCACATTTTTGAGGTGCATCCCCTCCCTGGCCTCCATGTAATCGTCTAGGCCCTCGTTCTCCGTGAAGAAGCGGGCCCGCTGGGTCAGATAGGAGTTCTCAGACTCCACGTTGGCAAAGCTGAAACACTTGGTGAAGCGAAGCCGCGTGGCTGGGTAGCTCTCCAAGTCGATGAGGTCCTTGGAGATGTCCTTGACCCCGCAGTTGGAGTAATCAAACTCGGCCTCTGCCACGTGGGTGTTGACCCGCTCGTGGTACACCTGGGTGGTGGTGTAGGCGTCCCCGTTGCGGTAGCGGGTGACCTGCCGGGTCCTGCGGACGTAGTGGTAGCTGATGGCCTTCCACCAGATGCAGGGCGTCGCCTGCTGCATGCGCTGCACGCGCTCGTGCACGCTCTCCACGTCCACCTTGTACTGCAGCTCGTTGCGCGTGTAGCAGTGCCAGCACTCCACCAGGTACACCACGTAGAGCATCACCAGGAAAGCCAAGGGGATGTAGACGTAGCCGTTGGAGCAGGGGCTGTCATGGTACATCATGGACTTGCCCTTGTAAGCGCTGTCGAAGGTCAGCCGGGTCACCTTGGTGACGTGGCACCAGGTCATGGCTCCCATGCAGCCATACATGAGGAGGGACAGCAGCAGGCATTTCCAGTGGGACTCTCGGCACAGGGACTTGCTGAGAGACTGCTTCACTGGCCGCTGCTGCTCCGGGGCACCGGGGAGAAGAGAGAGAAAACAAGAGAGGAGTCAGTATCCTGCAGGGGAAGGGGAGCAGGGTGCTGTGGTAACACCTATAGCTCTCTGAACACAGACCAAACAGCAGATGCCATGGGGCTCCTGGCCTCAGAGGGCAGGGCAGAGGCTGGGATCTCTCACAGAATGACAGTCATGCAGTGCAGGCAACTATCATCTCCATTTCTGGTGCTCTGCCCCTCCCTGGGAGACAGACAGAGCCCAGCTGGACATGGGGGAGAGAGGCAAAGGATAACTCTGTCAGCCAAACCCTGAGCATCTCCCTTCTCCAAGAGGGAGTAAACCCTACCATTGCCACTTCCCAGGGAGAGCTATTGGAGCACCAGATAAGAGTCTGGGTGATCTCCTCCACATTCCTCAGCTCTTGCACCCACCCCACCAGCACAGGCAGCTCTAACTGATGTCATCCCACCTGAACCCCTCACCACAGGTCATCCCACTGCACAGGAGTCTCTTCCCTGCTTCCCAGTAATGACCAAGAGCAACATTGCAATTCCTCCACCAGGGCGGCACAAGCTGCCTGGTGTGCCTGTCAGATGGAGAAACAGCCCTTCTGCAGCTGGGAAGGTCTGTGCTTGCTAATGACAATTGCCACTACAACCCTTGGCAGCCTAAGGAGCTCTGAAGTGCTTCTCAAGTGCTTTATAAACCATACCAATGAGAAAGTACTTTTCCACTATTGAAATGGAGCCACCTCTGGTAGGAGAGAAAGCAAATATGGAGTAACATCCTAAAAAGTGTTCAGACTGGAAGGAAGGAGCATCCTACCAATCTGCAGCAGCAAGGAGGGCAAGAGGCCACTCACAGCTGCTGGCAAATGTGCCTGCTTGCACTGGGATTCAGATATGACAGTCCACACTTCTGAAAGAATTGCTCTTAGGTCTTTCATGGTGAGGAAAAGGCAGAACTTCAGCAGCACGACTTTTTAAAGGGATTGCACTGGGGCCTTTACCACAGCACAGTGCAGGGCTTCATACAAACCCATGAAAAAAACTTGGTTAAGGAAACCTCTGTCACTCTGCAACACTCTGAAGTCTCAAATATTGATCCATTGTCTGTGAGATCTGACATCATCCTACCCAAAGAAAGAACAGACAAAGTAACTATTTGCTTTCTTATACAGAAGATTTCATCCAGCAATCTCCAAAGGTGCAACCTGAGAGAGGGGGTCAAGACCCCCAACCTTATGCAGATGCCACCAAATTCACTCAGAGGCTTCAAGCTTTGCTCTCCCTCTGCCCCTGCAGGCAGCAGCAGCTCCTGAGCCCACCCCTGCCGTGGCAGGGGCCAACACCAGCTGTAATGACCCTGCTCACAGCACTGCAGTCCAAGCCTGGCTCCATTATTCTCCACTCCTGAGCACGCTGGGCTGGAGAGGTCTCTCATCCAGGAATCCCAAACAACTGAATGGGCTCACACTGCTAGGAAGCAGGAGGGGCACTTTCACTCTTGTATGAAAATGAAAATTAAAGCAAGAACCAGAAATCACGAGGGCACTGGCAGGTCTAGGGACAGACCTGGGCCTCTTCTTTCATTAAAGAAATGCATCTTGCCCTTCTGAAGAGCCCCTCATTCCTGGCTTGGTGCTCTAGAGTCCCACAGTCCAATCTTCCCTCCCCACCCTTGTCAAAGCCTGCCAGTGGGACTTCTGTCACTGCCCTCATGGATCCTGCCCAAATCGCCAGCAGAGGTTTCCCTCCTGGAGGCACAGAGCACCCCTGCCTGCCCACCCCAGCAGCCAGCCCATGATGAACAGAGCAGGCGGCACATCCAGAGACACCGCTGCTGGCACAGGGAATGGTGGCACATCCCACTGGCACTCCCAGCCATCAGTAATGCTGAGCTGCTCTCTTTGAAGCCACTAGCAGAGAGCAGGACCTGGGGACAGACGGACAGACAGACAGAGCCCAGGGCTGGCAGGTGGGTGGTGCTGGCCTGCAGGCAGCTCAGAGAGGCGCAGGGTGGCACTGCTGGCATGGACACATGTGCAGCCCAGTCTTCTGACCACTGCAGCAGCCTCACAGTCATGGGGCAAGGAGGCAACCCCAGGTAAGAGAAAAGGGAGAGAGGAGAAGAAAGGGGGGCCTTTCAGGAGGCAGAGCCACCTGAGCTGTGCTCTCCCTCCTGAGGTCAAGGCTGCAGTTACCAGAGCCTGCTCAAGCCCCTCTGTCTTTGCTTGGTTGCAGCACAGCTCTCCCATGCTGGAATACTGTGCCACTGCCCAGGCAGCTAAAGGCTTCCTCTCTCACTGCTGCCTCCTGCGTCGCAGGCTTTCCCTGGCAGCGGCAGCTCTGCTCTGCCTGTGAGGATCCTAAAGGAGCAGCTGAGCCAAAGGAGGAGCGTGGGGAGGGTCTGAACAGGGCCCTTGGGTGGTACATGCCAAGCCTGGGCTGTCTGTGGGGTGTGAATGCTGAGAAACAGCACCTCGTTTAGGAGGCAGACATGCAAACAGCACAAGGAATAAAGCAAAGCACCCAGCTCATTCATTTGCCAGCTGGGGAAGGGGCACCAGAATGACAGGTCTTTGGACACGTCTGTCTCAGAAAAGCAAACTCCACCTCACAGCCAGTCCCCAGCCCCTGGCACTCTGCACTGCCCGTGTCGCAGGAGAAGGGAGACGCTGGCTGCCACCCTGCAGAGATGTAGGCAAGCCCCACTGCGGTTACCCACCCAGGGCAGGGAGCACGATGCAGCCCAGGCTTGGTTCCAGGAACTGTGTTAGCAGGGCTCTGGTCCATGCATTAGTCTCCTCCTAGGACTACGCAGTACTCAGATACTGCAGCGCTTTTACGGGGTCACACTAACCCCTGCTGTAAACTGTTTACAGCCCAGCCTTGTCCCAGGCTTTTGGGGCAAAACACACACACCTCAGCTGCTCTGGTGGGGGCTCCGAAAGCTGAGCAAGTGCAGGGACGGGATACAGCCACAGCAGAGACAGAGGAGGAGCCAGATGCAGAGTCTAATCCCAGTAGGAACTGCAGCATCCCTGCTCCTCTCCCAGGCTGCAAAGGGCTCACAGGAGCAAACAATCAGCTCCAGAGATTCCTCCGCAGAAGCAGCTGAATAAGATTGTCTCCTTGAGCTCTTAACCAGCCTTGGATAAGTCCAGCATAGCAAACCAGCAGATGAAAAAGCTGGGGAAAGAGAAATCTGTCTCAGAACAGTGTCACTAGGAGGAGAGCAGGCACTGATATAAATGCCATCGTCATCTGCCCGCTGCAGTCTGATGGAATGAGGCAAAAGACTTGCCCTACTTCACTGCAAACAGGGTTTCCCTCCATCACCAGGAGCCTCCCTCACTGCTCAGGCTCCAGCACTGGAGAGTGGTGAGCAAATCTGCTATTGCAGGTGCACTGGAACGTCCCTGCAGAGCTAGGGGGCAAGGCTGGCCATAGCTTAGCTGAGCCTGTTGTGGGATCCCAACCAGCTCCCTTCCCTGTGCTTCAGTTCACCTCAGGGAATGCATGGGGCAACCCTCAGCAGGCACTAACTGAGACACAGCTCGGGAAAGGCAAGGGGAGGCTGCTGCTTGGGCCTCCCCTCGCTCCTGCCTGGCACTGCCTCTGACACTGCCCCTGAAGGGGACAGAGATGGACAGAGATGGAGGCCCACACCTGCAGCTGCTGCTCGGGATGTGTGGGGAGAGATGGAGGGCATGGAGGGGATGGAGGGATGGAGGGGATGGAGAGGATGGAGGGCATGGAGGGGATGACTCACAACCAGCCATGAAGCAAAAGGAGACATCCACAATGCACAGGGCAGAGGCAGTAGAAGAGGGGACCCCCAACACCGCTTGCACCCCAACACCGCTTGCACTGAACTCCTTTGAGGTCCGGGGGATTCTCTTCTACAAAAAACAGTCTCAAGGGGACAAACCTGCCCAGCACCTCAGTGGCCAAGCACATGGGTCAAAATCCCTTAATCACCCCTGCAACCTTGACCCTGCAACTTTGAATACTAAAACCCATCAAGTTCTTCAAGCTACTCCCAGTAACAGCCTGGCCCTGGCCCCATCCACTGTCCCCTTTTTTAACAAGCATTTCCATGTCATTACCTCCCATGCCTCTCACCTGCCTCTCCCTGTAGAGACCTCTGTGAAATCTCTGATTCACCTCCAGAATGCTAAACCTTCATATTTCGAGACAGCCTGGGGTTCAGAGGATTAGGTGTCCTAGAGACAGCCTTCTAGAGGGCTGAAAAAACAACCCAAAAAAAGCCCCCAGAGCAGCAGCCTGAAGGCTCAGGTAGCTCCCGAGTGCCAGGTGGTGGCAGCAGCCTGCAGGGGACTCCAGAGGGACTCCTGAGCATCAGTTTCCATGGCTCTTCCCCAGGATTCACTTACATCATACAAGAAATGAATAAGCCCTGATTCCTCTGACCTCAAATCCCCAGAAAAAGGGAGGTAGGGAGGATCCAGTCATTTCTAGGAATTACCACTGCCTTTGAAGGCTCTGGATGGTCCCAGCAAATACTCACATCACACACCCCATGCCTACAGGTCCTGTCTACAAGCAAGAGGTGGCTCAGTCCCAGGCTGGCAGGGTTGCCAACTGCAGAGGACAGAGGAAGGCTGAGCATCGACAAGCCAGGGAATCCTGCCAGCAGTCAGCTCCTGCAGCGGTACCAAGGTCTCCATTTCACACAGCAGCTTGGAGGAGGACTGCTTCCTTCCATCAGATCCCCCCTGAGCAGCAGGACAAGGACAGGTTTTTGCTGGTTCCCAGCTGAAGAGCTTGTCCCTTGGCGTCTCCTACCCCCCAAGTATGCACTGAGGAGTGAAATTCAGTTCACCACCACTGAGTGTGGGTGTAGGCATGTGATGCCAAGATGGAACAAGGGCTCAGTCAGCTCTGGTTAGCAGCTCTTGCTACTTGCCTTGCTGGGACAAGATGAGAAGCACCCGAAGCCCTGCCTGGCTCCCAGACACAGCAACCTGAGATATCAAGATGAGACACCTTCAAACAGGACAGGGCAAGTTTCCCATCTTCCAGACATCTCCCCTGGCTTCCCACTCACCCTGGCCAATGGACCCTGACATGTGGGACTGAGCCACACTGCAGGGACACTCGGCAATGCTGGCACCAGCAGCTGGCTCTGATGGAAACCAAGACATTGCACAGCCTGTATGGCACTGCATAGGCACTAGAGGGGAGGAGGAACATTCTCCCCTCCTGGTAGTTCTGAAGACAAGAGGATTGCACTAGGTCAGCCCATGAATCCAAGATTGCCACTAAAGTCTCTCCTCATTGCATCAGATGAGACACCAGCAAGCATGGCACCATCACGAGAGGCTGCAGCTTCCCTCTCCTCCACCAGCTGCCTCATGCAAGTCTGTGACAGCTTCTGGCCACAGGAAGGATGCCCTTAGCCTAAACAGGGCAGGTCATGGACTACAGCCCTTCTGCCTGCCCCCATGGAGTGTTATACTGACAGCCTCGTTGGCAGCCACCACAGAGTAACTGTGGTGCTTGGACAATCCTATAATCCCTGCAAGCCAGGGGGCACTGTAGGTGAGGGAAATTCGTCTGGGCACTGCCCCTGCTACACTTTCACCCAAACTGGCTCCTGCTCTGGCACCTCTGAAAAGTCTGTGCCATCTAGAAAGTAGAACCAGCACTGCCAGAGCACTGGCAGTGAGAGACCACATCACAGCAAGCACGTCCTCACATGCAAAAAGCACCTCACAGTTTGGCTACCCTCGTCAGGATCTGTCTGAAGAGTTGGGCTCAGATCATCAGGAGTTGTTGAATGCAAGCAGGAAGAGAGGAACAGACACAGAGTATACAGTATTTGTGCAGCTTCCCAGTCCTTGAACTTCAGCATTCCTCTCCTGCAATTATTTCTATCTAAATATAAATCTGTATATATAGCATAACCGTGCATGGGCATGCATGTTCTGCCCAAGCCAAGGAGGCAGAGAATACCAGGATTATGCAGCACTCACAAACTGCAGCTCCTCATCAGCAGAAGGGGAAGTGATGCACCAGCTTCTGAGTACCCCCAAGCTGCCCTCTGAGCTGTGGTCTCTCCAGAGAGGGCAGCCCACCACCTGCAGGAGAACACCGCCCTTCCTACACTGCCTAGTTGCCCTCCATGGGCCAGCACCCCCATGGCATAAAGTGAGTCCCACCAGTCAGAGCAGTTGCCTTCCCTCTTCTTGGGAAGCCCAAGCTGCAAGCAGGATCTGTAGAGGCAGACAAAAGGGCTGGCACTCCTGCCTCCCGGTGGTGCTCCCAAGGCACAGGGCACCCTGCTCTTGACCCTTTCTGGCGCCTGCTGCCTGGACTCCAGAAAAGTCATCTGCTGAGGGAGACTGCAGCACACCTGGAGGCAAGGCAGTGCTGCTACCTGGCCTGCCCCAGTCTGCACCTTCCACTTCTCTAGCTGGGAGCAGCCGCCAGCCAGCAACAGCCCCTGGCTTTGCCATGTCCCCAAGCCCTCTACCCTGCTGCCCACCGCGTCCTGCCTCACAGCGACCCAGGCAGCTGTGCCACATCCTGGATGCGCCCAGAAGCCAGCGCACAGCACGGAGGGGGTCTCCGCGTCCACTCCTCCCAAGCATAACAAGCTCTGCCCGCGGCTGTAAGCCCAAACGGTGCCCCGCGCTTCTCGTTTCTGATTTTTCCCTTCCTCCTCCATCCCGGCCACTCCAGCTCCGGCCCCCGCTCCGGACGGCGCAGGCTGCTGCCTCCCTTGCAGCCCCGGAGGCTCCGCAGCGATCCCCAGGTGACCGGCAGCGATGGAGAGCAGGCGCGCCGGGGCAGCCCTTTGGCGGCAGGGCATGCTCGCCCCCAAACCCCCCGTGCCCCCCGGCCCGCATCGCATCCCCGGGGCCGGAGCGGGGCGGGAGGGGCTCCCAGCGAGCGGCTCCGTACCTGTGCGGGCAAAGCCCGGCCCGGCCCGCGGCGGGGCGGTCAGTGCCCGCGCCACGCAAAGCGCCCGGGCAGGCAGGAAGGGTGGGTGGTGGGGGGCAGCCCCGGGCCGGGGGCGGCCGCTCTGCTCACCTCCTCTCTGGCCCCCTCCGCCTCCTCCTCCGGAGGCACCGGCGTGCTGCTGCCTCCCTCGCTGGCGGCGGCCGCCGAGGCCGGGGGGGACATGGCGGCGGGGGCGCCCCGCTGGCGGTGCCTGCGGGCTGGGCAGCCGCATTATCCCGCCCGCCGCCGGGCGCTGCCTCGCCGGTGGCCGGGCGGGCGGCGCGGCGGCGCGGCGGGCGGGCGGCGCGGCGGCATCGCCCCCAGCCGCGGCTCGGCGGCAGCGCTGGCCGCCCGCCGGCCCCGGCCCCGGCCCCGCCGCAGCGCAGCGCCGCTACACGCGGCGGAGGGCGGGCAGAGCCGCGGTGGGAGGGCCGCGGCGGAGGCGGGGGGAACGGCACGGGGGTGGGATGGGATGGGATGGGATGGGATGGGATGGGATGGGATGGGGATGGGAATGGGGATGGGGATGGGGGCACGGATCCGCGCCCGCCCGAGCGGAACGGCGGGTGACCTTGAGGCGCCGGGCGGCAGCGGAGAGGGAAGGAGCCCGGTGCAGAAGCCCCTGCCGAGCCCCACCGGGAGCGGAGCTGCCGCCCGGCGCTGTCGGGGAAAGCTCCTGCTCTCAGCAGCGCCGAGGGGTCGTCAGGCTGTCTTCGGTCCCAGCTGGCCAGCTGATGGAGAGGTGAGGGTCCCGTGGGTTTTCCTTCCCTCGGGATGAAGCGGGAGAACCGGGAGCACTTTACATGTGCCCCATCTGCTTTTCTGATTTGTGGGGACCCCAGCTGGTCGGGGTAAGTGGGGTAGTGCTGACCGTCAGTGCTGATGCTGGCACTCACGGCATTCTTTTGGTTGGGCAGGATCTCCCCTGCTGTGATCTGCGCCGGGCCCAAAGGCTCTCAGCTAGCTATTGCAGAGCCAACTGCAGCCTATTTCTCCACAGAGCTAACATGTTTGGTTACACGGATGAGTGGAACAGTCTCTTCAGACCCTCAACCTAAACTGACTAGAGGGACACACACACAGAGTTTGGGAAGGGTCCATACTTGTCAAGATCTGGATATTGCAGGTACAGCCCAGCTTCCTTGACAGTCAGGAAATCAGGTATCTCTGCAGGTGCTTCCCCAGATCCAAACTGGGGAGAAGCATAGGCTGCAGAATTTGCTGGAAACTTCTCTTTTTCTGAGCTCTGAGGCTCAGCCTTGGCAATGGGATGATTGGCATGCCCTTGTCCACTGTTGCCTGGAATGAGGAGGGAACAGTGTGTAGGCCTGATGGTCTCACTCAAGGAGATGCATCCGAGGGGAATTGCCAACCCCTGCTTCTCATGGGAATAGCTGTGATGGCCGGGGATGCTGCTGAAGGAGCTCATCTTCAAAAGAGGCTGGGGATGTGTTTCCTCTCGCCTTTCCCCTGTTTCCATGGGAACAGCAGCAAGCAGGAGCAGCCTGCTTGGAATTTCACTGCCTGCCGCTCAGACACCCCCTGCCCAATCACCCCGGCAGACTTTGCCTCTTGGGGGTTTCAGACCCACCCTCACATGACGGATCCCATGCTCCGAGGAGAGCTCACCCTTGGATGTGTGTCATGGCAGAGCAAGGCAAAGAGGCACAAGGCCAGAGCTGCCACAATTCCTGTAGCAGCACGTTGTTCCATGCACACTAACAGACAGTTGAAAATAATTTGCATTCCTATATGCATTTCTGCTTTTTATAGGATGTGACCTCAGCTAGACCAAAAAGTGCCTGAGGGATGATCGCCCTCCAGGAACAGCACTGGCTTTATCTCAAATATGTGAATATCACACAAAAAGAGCAAAGCAGAAGGGTGAAGAGGGGGGAGAGGTGGTACAAGGTTATGCCTTTGCATTTAATAGTCCATGGTGTCTTTTTCCCCAAGGAATTTGTCCATTTACTTTTGAATTTGTTTTGATTTCGGACTTGTAGATGCTTCATGCATTCTGTGGCAAGGAGTTTCATACCCACAGCATACCCACAGACTCAAGGAACTTCCTTTGATGTGCCCATCCTGGGCTTTTTATCCATTAGGACTAACCCCTGGGAAGCAGGCTGCTGCCGCCACCCTTATGGAGCTACCCACAGTGCGATTTATCCTTCACTGGTGGAGCTGGTGGCTACTGGTGAGCCAGAGGTAGAGTTTTTTGTGTCAGGCATCTTTGATACTGGTCCTGGCAGCATATCTTGGAGACAACACTGTCAAGCACATCACCAGCTGTGCTATTTTTGAGATGAGGTGGCACAAAAGAGGTTGTGTGCCCTGCCTTGTCTGAACTGGAGTTGTATAAGTTCTCAGCCACTTTCTGAGGAAAACAGGCATGTGGCAGATTTAGACGCTTGGGCATGTACCCAAAGGCATTGCTGAAAATGTGCAACAAAGGGCACAGGACTCCCAGGAATGGGAGAAATAGGACAATATATGATGCTTAGCCTTTCAGAAACTAAAGCAGGATGGACAGCATCCAAGCTTGTGTTCTGTGTCATGATCACAGGGAGGACCCAGAAGCTGTAATTACAACACACTGCCTGATCCACTCAACCCTTCTGTTCATGGGGGCAAGACACAAAAATGTGTGACATTTCCCTCCAGTTATTCCTGTAGGTTTCAGGATGCTCTAGTGGAAAATCATGTTGGAGAGTGGGATATTTCTGGGATGGAGGCCTTTCTGATGTGACAAAATGGTTGAAAGAAGCAGGGAGGCTTTTAAGAAGACACAGCAACTGAAGTAGAGGTGGTGCCCTCACCAATAGGTTTGTTCTCCAGAAACCCTGTATCTGCCACCCTGCAGAGACATTCATATCTGTTCCAAGCAAGCATAAAGCATGACATCATATTAGCAGGATTCGTTCACTTTCCATAATGCATCAAACCGCAAAAGGTCTCGCTCTTCTGTCTCTGGAAGTTACAGAAAATAGCCTTTTAGCTCCTGCTTAAATATGTTATTAGTTCTTACCCATGCAGCAAATTTGCACTCAATTTCTGGAAAAAATTTTGAGGGAGGCTGCATTTTAAAACAGATGGTCATAGATAACCTATCCTTGTGCTGTTATTTGTAGCCTGAATATAAAAATGGATTTCACAGCATCATATAGATATATATATCACTGTGTTTAGCTTTATTTTTTCCAATAGACCAAGTGTGATCAAGACTCAGTCTTTTGTTCCAAAGCAATCAATAATTCCTAGCGGTGTGCTGCTTTTTGTCTCTTAAGAAGATGCGTGGTAGAGAATCCCCTCGTGTTAGGATGCAGGATTTTCTATGCTCAGGAATTAATGCCTATTCAATTTAGGAATTTCAAGGATACTTTGTGCTGGCTGCCTGAGCGTTCCAGAATGTGTCACTCCAATTAAATTACTCCTTATTAATGCAACAAGGGGAGTGTGGGTAAAGGAATGCGCCTCTTGCTCCAGTTAACAACATCCCTTTGCCACTGCTGGTCAGTGGTGTTGACTGTCTGAGTGCCATGTACCTCTGCAAGATTTGGCCTTAAAGGAAATATGTGCCATTAGTTGTGTTTTCATGTGCTGCACTCAGACTTCATGTCTGCTGGGAGGAGATTCAGGTGTGCTTTTTTTATTGTGGGAAGGAAACTCCCAGGTGTCATTAATTGGTGACTGGGGAGCTCATTTCTGTTTAGCATCACTAGCAGCGGTACACATCACAACTGCAGTCCCCAAACACTCAAAATCTCAAACCTCACAAAGTAGGTGGGTTTGTGGCTGCTGCTCTGGGGCACATTTCACTGAATAGAATTGCTGTCATTGAAAAGTCTTTGATCCCCGCTCTGATCCTTTCTTTTCCAACAGGCTGCCTGTATCCAGTTTGTTTGTTTTCCATCCAGCCTCATGAGAGTCTATTTTGTCATCATCACAGCTTTTGTGAGGCTCCACAGAGGTTTCTGGGTCAGGTTAAATCACTTTCCTCTCTGCAGTGGCCCAGCAGGATACCCAGGGCCCTCCCTCACATCCCCCCCAGAAATAAAAAGCGGATTCAGCACTGCCCAGATGCTGTTTGACAGTCCTCAGGACATTTTGTCCGATATAACTCCAGAGCAGCAGCAACCGCCCCAAGTGCCTGGAAACTGAGCCAAATCCTCCCTTGCCAAATGCTTTGTTCTCACTTAAATTTTTGGTCCATCACCCCCAGAAAGGAATAAACCACGGAAACTAATGGCTCAGGGAATTTAGTCTATCTCTAGTTAGGTCCTGGGAGTCACCTCCCTAAAAGCAGAAAATAAGTTTCTGTTGCAGTTTGCTTTCCCCACACTGAAGGGCTGGAGTTGACATACCCTGACCTGGAGAAGCATCCCTGTCCCACCAAAGTCTCCCCATGGACCTGGCTGGCAGAGAGGTTGCTATTCTAGGGAAAGGTCTAAAACCCACTGCATGCTTAGGGGTCATTGTACAGGCCAGGCCTGTCAGTCTGGCCAAGGTCCCGAGGAATGGCTGCAATCCTGCTTTCTGTGTGCCCCATCACTTTTTCATGGTGTCAGAACTGCTCTGTCCAATGGGATGGCCACCTGCTCCTGCTCAGCACCTGAATATTTCCAACAGCTCACTCACCCTCACCTCCCCTCCTTGTCACCGTGCTCACCCCTCTCTCCCTGCCCCTGCTTGGGCTCCTCACTTGTTTTCAGTAGTGTGGCTCCACCAGGCCTGTTCCCAACTCACTCTGATGCAAGTGTGGAGAGACACAAGCCCTAATTGAGTCTGGCAGCCGGGAGGTTTAACTCTCCTGAGAGCAGAGCCGAGCTTGCCTGAGTAGTACCTAGGCACTTGGGGCACTGCTAGGAGAAAGGACCGGGCTAGTGGGGGTGCAAGGCTGCAGTGAGGGGCTGAGGTGATGCAGAAAGCAGCTCAAACAGAATCAACTCAAAAATGAAAGTTAACCCATGCTCCCTTCTACCAGCCATCAGGTCCAGTGCAGCAGTGCTGAAGCTCAGGAGCGGCACTGGCAGCATCTGTCCTGTGCTCTCTGGCAAGGTGAGCTGGGGGATGCTTGGGTGGGTTGAGGTTTTTGTTTTGTCTTGGGTAGTCTCTGCCAGATGAACTGTACTTAGAGAGTCATGAATAAATGATAGCCCCACGATGGAGCACTGTCTTCCACAGCTATTCCATGGGGAGGGAGGAGCGTTCTTCATTAGAGTGATGTAGCCAGTCAGAGGTTATCAGAGCCACCCTCTGAAGTGAATCTGTCTCATCACTAGCTATAAAGAGAGCCCCAGGTGACAAGATTTCTCACCTAGGGCACAGTTTCATCATCTATTTAAGCATGGTTTTATTTTCAGTTCTCCAAGACCATCTGCCACTCCCTCCCCATTCATAACCACATCTGCCATCTCCTTTGGGAGAGCTCTGAGCACACACACACATAAATACATAGCAAGTCCTATCAGCTGTGCATTTGCCCAGATGCAAGCAGAGAACATTGCTGCAGCAGCCACCAGGCTGACAGGAATTACACAAGAAGGATATAATTTAGAATGAACTTTTGTTAAAATATCATGGGGTTTTGTTCATTCACTTTGTAAAGTCGAAGATTTTTAGTGCATCTTTATGCCAATCACTTTCTGTTTGTGGAAGTGAATGCCGAGAGTGCAGTGAGTTAGGTGTGATCCCCATTCAGGGGATTAACTAATCCTCTTGTCCAACTTCCTACACATCACACACACAGTGAACAACAAAAGCAGGTAGAAACTTCCCTGTTCACTGGGACTCTGAGCAACAGTGGGAATCTCCTCAGGAAGGGCGTTTGCTGGGCAACTTGCCGACCACCTACCACATGTGGACAAACCTGATCTGCTCTGGGTTGTGTCACCACTACAGCACGATGGCTCCCATACATTCCAGGAGTGCACAATGGGAGTATGAGAGGCATCCACCAGACTGCAAGGAGAAAAATTCTGGCTGGAAATAATCCCATATTAAAAAAGCAAGCAGATGCCCAGAGCAGCATCCCTGGAGCGATTCAAAGCGACTCTGTGACTTCAGTCAGATTTACCAGGAGAGGGCAGCCAATGCTTTCTGGGCTGACTACCCCAGAAAATGGGTACCCGAGGAGGACCTGCTTTGCATTGCTCTGTTGGAAAGCTTGGCCTTGCTTCTGGGCATAGAATCTGGAAAAGTCATGTTCCTCCTTTCCTTTATTGGGGCAGAAAGTGAAGCGACCCAGTTTGGTGCACTACAGAACTGATTTGCTGTCAGATATGTGAAACCAGTCAGAGCAGAGAGTCTGTCGTCTTTCCTGCAACTTTCATCCTCTTCCAGGGCTTCTGCTTCCCTTGAATGCCCAGCTCACAGGCTGAGCTCTCTGAGCTGGAGCTCCAGACAGAGGTCCAGGTTCTTGCTTGGGGTGCCAGCAACATCTCTGGGTGAGGAGAATGCAGAAAGAGCTTCCTCAAGTGGGGATCTACACCTTTCTTATGGACTCAGCATTTCTGATTCTGGGGATGAGGGAAAAGGGCTGCATCCCCAGGGAATGGGGCAGCTCAGTGCTCATGTGGGATGAAAGCTGTGCAGTGGACAGCCTGCATGGGGGGAAGGTAGCACCAGTCACGTTGCCTGGTGTGAATTATTGTGGCAATAACTGCTTATCACAATTTCAGGTAACCCATGTTGCTTACAAATGACAGGACCACAGCCAGTAATTAAAGGGCCATTATATTTTCTCAGATCAGACACAGACTGGGTATAATTTGCCTTTCTCCATCTCTCTCAGCTGCATTTCACTTATTTTATGCAGTTAACAGCTCAAAGAACAGAGAAGATGTTGGTGCCAGGCTAGGCCTTCGTTTAATGTAGTCAGTCAGAGGGCTGTGCTTGGGGATAGGACATTATCAGGGACAATACCCGGGAGTCTGGGTTGCCTAGGGATTGCTTCCCATGTCCATGCTCTGACCTGATGCTCCTTGCAGCACGGTGTGGTGGGAAAGCGCTGCTGCCTTGAACAGCGTGTGCTGGCACTGACCTCTAGTGGGAATAGATCCCTTCCTCTTTAGATTTTCCCTGCAGTTTTAACCATTTTAAGTGACACATACTAAAGGGGACTGGAGAGACCCAAGAATCAGAGCTTCGTTTTTTAAAACCTTCAAAACTAAATCAGAACATCAAGATTTGCCTCATAATATATTTAATTTTTTTAATCCCTCTACCATTGCCTTCCATACGTTATAGATAGATATTTATGCATATGTGTATCTCTCTGTATTTAAAGCCTCTGAAAATGATAGAAGGCCAAAACTTGCATAGCCAGGCAGAAAAGTTCTCTGTTGGGAAGACAGCATGAAAGGGAGCCCAACCCTCACAGAATGAGTAACAGAAGGCAAATAATGGGGCAAAGGGACCAAGTTCCTCTTTCAGACTTTCCAGTAAAATTGTCTGAAAGGTTAATAGAAGCACACCCAGTCACAGGAGGGTGGCAGGAGATGGTGCCTGAGCTGGGGGTTACTGGGTGCAGTTGGGAGGTCAGAGCAGAGGGTGGCTGGCCATGGATGCTGGGGGGCAGAGCTGATGGCAATGGGGCACGCCTGGTCTCCACACTCAGCTGCAGCTGACCACGGCAACACAGCCCTGCCACAGCACTGGCCAGATAAAGGAGTTCAAGGCTCACCTTAAAGAAGCTGCAAGATCACAACCTCCAGATAAATTCACATCAGCAGCAGAGGACAGCCACTTCCAGGGGCTACTTGCTAGCCAGAGGTGTGGACAGCTTGCAGTGGACTGGACTGTGGAGTCCCTGGTGGTGGGTCTTGGATTGCCTCCTTGCTAGAGCTGCTCCAGGGTTTACTACTCCAGGTTCTGTGCTTTGGCTGAACTGTTCCTGGACATGTGCTCGTCCTGGAATCAGGACCCACACCTATTTCCCAACTGGAACAGCACATGGCAATATAATCAAGGTCAGACTGATGCTTGATGCAAAGATAAGCTGTTAGCTGACAGAAAAATTAAATCTTTGTGTATCACCAAACAAATTTGTGTTGATTTGACCACTTTATCCACCGGAAAGTGTACAAGGAACCATTCCATAATGGAGCTGCATCTAGTATGTTACTAGAGAAAATGGCAAAGGCATTTAGGAAGGCAACTGGTGGATAAGCCAGTAGCAGTTGGGTATGGAAAGCTGAAAGAATAGCAATTCTGTGTGTGGATCAGGAACAACAGCTAGAGGTGGAGCTGGGATGCAGCCACCACCAGGGTGTGAGAGGGAGTGACATGGATATATGGCCCAGATCCCCATACTGCACTGAACAGAGCTGACAGATGGGGAGAAGCTCCTTTCCCTCAGTAATTGTAATCTTGCACACAGTGCCAGAGACACAACTGGAGACACTGAAACAGATCTTGAGCATGGCAAGAAAACTTGTGACTGGAAGTAATTGATGCCAAAAGAGAACTTATCTGTCTCCCTGCTGCTGCCCTCACACCCCAAAACCTTTCTTCCTACAAACCCAAAGCAACAGCTGCAGTGTGGGATAGGGAAATATTTGTCACTCTGCAGGTGGTTCCTGTGAGTCCATCCAGTATCCACCACCAAGCTCTTCCCAGGTAAGCTTCCTCGCTGGAGATTGTTCCCCTCCTGCTCAGATGAACTGGAAAAATGGGCATCCTGCAGAGACAGAAAGTCCTCTCAAGCAATAAAAGCAAAAAGTGAAACTGATTTTAAAGTGTCAGCTGTGTTCAGAGCTATTTAGTTTGTCTTTTGAGGAAAGTCCACTGCTTGGGACACTGGAAAGTAATAACATCTATGCAGATCCATAGGAGTTTTGGCATTGGGAAGAGAGCACTGGAATCCAGTCTGGTCAATACAGGCAGTGAGCTGGGCCTTCATTCGACCTTCTATTCTCAGCTTTATTCTCTATGTCTTGGCTGCTCTTTTGTGAGCCCTGGTAGCCACTCTGGGCTTTGAAAGAATTTCTATTTGCCCCACAGAGCGGTGGTGAGAAGCGGCTGGACCCAGAGGCTTGTGCAGCCAGCTACAGTGACGTCCTGGCTTTCCCTGTGAAGGCAGGAAGATGAGAAGGTGTCTCGGTGGGTGGAACACTTTGGCGTACGCACACGGGAAAGGCGAACGCCTTGTTTGCACCTCTGCTGCAAGTGACATCCACCATGTTGTTTCCCACGGAGCCTGAGCTTCACCCAGCACCTGCACAGGCTGCAGCATCCTCACCCACACACCGCCTGCTCGGACAGGGTCCCGCTCCCTGCCCTGGCAGACCTGCGTGCTGTTTAAAGAACCCAAACCAGCCGGGCAGGGGGAGGCAGGCCGAGGACAGAGCGGGGGCCCGGCCCGGCCTAGGGCAGCGCAGCGCGGCCGCCTCCGTGCCCCGCGCACCCCGGGTGCCGGCCCCACTGCCGCAGCCGCCGCCTCTCCTCCCCCTCGGTGCTTGTGCTCCCCCGGACAGCAGGGCGGGAGCAGCGGCCCCGGGTTGTGCCGGGGCGGGGCGCGGCGGGGGAATCCCGGCCGGGCGCGGCTGACTCAGTGCGGGCAGGGGCAGGAGGCGGCGGCGGAGGCGGAGCCGTGGCGCCTTAGACCCTGAGCCGGCCGCCGCTGCCCGGCTTTCCGGCCATGAGCCCCCCGGCAGCGGGGCCGGGAGCGGGACCCGGGCCGGGCCGGGCGGACGGCGGGCGCTGAGCCATGGCGCGGGCGGCGGGCGGCAAGGAAGCGGCGGGCTGGGAGGGCGAGGACGGGCAGTGCGACTCGGGCATCGAATCGCTGCGCTCGCTGCCGGGCGGCAGGGAGACCCCCGCCGCAACCGAGGGCCCCCCGGCCGCCCCCGAGGAGACCCTCGCCGAGGCCGCCGCCGCCGAGGAGCGGCTGGATTCCAACTACGGCTCCGGCGCCCTGCCCGAGGCTCTGCCCGAGGCTCTGCCCGAGGCTCTGCCCGAGGCTCTGCCCGAGGCTCTGCCCGAGGCTCTGCCCGGGCTGCCGGGGGCTCCGGGGGGCCGCCCCGAGGAGCCGCCGCCCCGGCCCGAGGGGCTCAGCCGGCAGCAGCTGGACGCCCTCACCTACCTTTCGGAGGACGGAGACACGTGAGTGACCCCCGGGGAGCTGCGAGCCATTGTCCCCCCGCCCCGGCTGCTCCCCTGGCAGCGGCGGGGAGCCGGAGCCAGAGATAAGCCAGGCAGTGTTTGCCGCGGTCCCCAGCCCTCCCCCGAGGAGCATCCGCTCAGCCGTGTTGTTAAGGTCTCCCCGGGCCCCTGTCCTAAGAGCCTCCCGCCTTGCCTTGGTGTGCGTGGATGCTTGGCATCCTGGTTTGGGTGGGTGACTCCTCTGACCCTCCTGAGGTGTGAGAGCCACCCTGAGAGGTATCTGAGGCAGGTCCAGCGGAGTGAGCAGGACGAGAGGCACCCCATTATGGACCCACCATAGAAGCCCACCTCCACTTGCCATGGGGCTGCTAGCAACTAGAAGAAAGGGGAGAGCGAATCAAGCCTCCCCCACTCCCTGTTCCCCAGAGAATGCACCGTTTCCTTTACAATGGGGAAGGCTTGGCTGCGTGAGAGGGCACGTAAGCAAGTCCTGAAGCAAGATTAGCTGTGCAAGGCAAGACCTTGCGATGGCCGTGTTAGACGCTGCTCAACCGAGCAACGCAAGAACTATTTGTTCTCAGGTGGGAATCGCCTTGCTTTGCCAACTTGCCCGCAGAACCGCGGGTTTTGGCAGAGTTGTGACGCACATCCCGATGTGGGGCTGCCCTCCTGAGCTTCTGTGACAAAGTGTTTCTCTTAACGAGGGGGGCTTCCCACATCTGTAGAGCCCTCTCAAGGGCAGAGGCATCACGCCGGAGTTATTTGGTTTGGCTTCTGGTAATTACCTTCAGCTAATCACAGCATTTTTCCTGTTGTACATTCCCTCGATGGAAGGTTTTCGTCATGAGTGTACACACAGAGCGTGAGCGAAGTGTTCTCACAGCTGAGGGCGAAGCTTTGCCCCAAAACCAGGCTAGAGTTTAATACTGAGTAATGGTGCAAGAGGAAGAGAAACTTAGAGGCACTGGCATGATCAAGCAGTAGTGAGAGCAGCAAGAAAGCTCTGTCCTTGCCTGGCACAGCACATCTGGATTGAAGCTGAAGATGAGCTGGGAGACAGCCTGAGTGTTTACTTCCCTGTTAGGAAAGAATCTGTGGATCTGCTAATTAGTTCATTAATGCTGACTCTGGGATCTGTTCTGAGGATTGGCTGGAAATCTCATGGCAAGCGAAGTTACACTAAACCCAGCCTCCCACACTCCCCAGACAGGCTTTCTAGTGCTGCCCTATCTACAGGCTGGTTCTGTGGCTCCTCAGAATGGAGGAGCTTTGCCAGTTTTCCCAGCTGTAACACTAGAGCCAAGGTGCCCATGGAGAGAGCCAGGCGTCTTTTAATCAGAGGTGTGGAAGTAACACTTCCCCCCAGGCTTATCTGTCATGCTGTGCCCAGGGCTCCATGCTTGCTATTTTATTAGTGAGCCCCATAGATGCAGCTGCTTGGAGATGCTTTTAGTGCTTGAGGCTGTCTTGTTTGGTGCTTGAAGCCTTTTGCCTGTCAGACTTGCTTGGAGAGACCTAATGCAAACATCTTATTAACTAGGAAAACATTAATCAGTGGTGCCTTGGTTACTGTAGGCAGGAGAGGCTCTCAGAGGCTGCCTTTGCTCTTCTGTTTTCTCTCCCTCACAGTGCATTTCAGAACAGGAAATCTGTTAAGACGGAGGGAGGGAGCTGTAGGTCTGCTGGTTGTACAGCTCTGGGCTCACCATGTCCACACAGGAGACAGCTTTCCTGGGATCTACTCCCACTGCTGGGAAAAAAAACTATTCTTGTGGTTAGAGTGGTGAGGCTGTGGATTTGTGCCTCCGCTATTCTTGTCTCTGCTCCTGACCCTGCGGCAGAGGTAGGTGGCATTTATATTTAGAAGTGCTGAACATCCACCACTCAGGTCATTGCAGATGGGGACTGAGAGCACCCAGAACTCATTGAACTGCCACCGGTTTTGTATGTGAAAACAAGTAAGGGCTGATAGTGATGCTAAAGTCTATGGTGCAATTGCTCATCCAGTGACAGAAGGTCCCCAGAGAGAAGGGATCAGATGGCCACAGGCTACATCCCTTTCATCTGGCCAGACAAACCCATCTTCATTTCTTCTTTTCATCTCTGTCAGCAGCATGTTTCCCTGTGTGCCTTTTTTAAATGTCTGCCACAAAACAGCTCCAGGCAGAGAATTAAAATCATACTATCATTTTATTTCAGAAGACTTGGGCAACTACACTTTCCTGTAATTGTAATTTTGAAAATACAAAAAGTCCAGGGGTTGTTTTGCCTAAATAGTTCCTGTTTCCCCAGATGCCCTTGCTGGTACTGAGCTGAGAGGAGCACTGGGCTTGCACAAAGAGAGCTGGCAAAAGTCTTGCCTCTACATCTAACGAAAATCTTCACTGTCCATGGCTCCCTCAGACTTACCCACCTGTGCCATCTCAAGGTGTGCCTTGTTTGTCAGCCTGGCACTTGTGGGGTGAAAACAGGAGGTGGAGGCAGAGGTGAAGAGCACATGCTTGGGCGGTTGGAGTGTCAGCAGGATCCTGATTGGATACCTCCCTACCTGCCTGCCTGCCTCCGCAGAGGAGCGTCAGAGCCAGCAGGATGAAGCAATGGGGCTAAAGCTGTCTCTCCTTGTGCCCAAAGTTAGAAGGAGTCTCACTTTGGCAGGAAGGAAATTGGCTAACAGGAAGGACCGGGGTATAATGACCAGTGAAATGCGTGGGTGCTGTCTTCCAAGAATTATTTGCCCAAATGTCATCCTCTCGTGGCTCCCTCGTGCCACTGGCAGCCCCTCTGCCTCAGGGAAGTCAGAGCTGCAGTAATAAGGCACATCAGTTCCCAAGAAGAGAGTGTGGCTCAGCTGTGAGGGCAGGAGAAGTCGAGCATGAGGAGTGGGGTGGCAAGCGGAAGATGGTGGGTGCACTTTGGGCAGTGATCTGTATCCTGCTTATCGTGTGGGCAGGTGGAGAACAAGCCCTGTGCGCTCAAACTCAAATGGTCTCCAAGCATCCATCTTGTGACCTACAGCTCCAAATACCTGTCTCTTCCATGTAAACAAACTCCTTTTCTGCTGACTTGGGTCCTGATGGGACTGCTCTGTGTGGAAGTGAATGATAGTGGCTTTCCAGCTGTGGGCCTGGCTGCCTCCGAGGAGACTGCAGGCTGATTTATTGTTGTGCCCCAGCCTCCAGACCACCTCAGCCTTTGTGAGGATTCACTGAGGAAACCGAGTCCTTCCTCACCTCACCTGGCAGGTGCACAATTCCACCTTCCTGGGAAAAGGATGAGTGTGGGACCAGCTCTTTGGAGGTGAAATGGGGTGTGAAGGGATCACCTGCTTTTGTTCCAGCACAAGAGAAAACCTCCCCATTTCCTTGGGCTGATGTCAGCCTCTGCCAGCTCTGGAGAGGCAGAGTTGATTCGTGAGAGTGTGAAGTTAAGCAGTTTCCTCTCTCTAGGACTGTATAGTCTATCTTAAACTTAAAAACATGTTTTCCTTCGTGCCCGTGCTGGTCCTTGGGCCACACACCACTTTCTGCCATTGTACCTGATGTGGTGGTTATGGAAAGGCTGGGAACTGTGCCTCTGCAGGAGAGTGACTGTCTTATGCAGGCTCTGTATGCAAAGCAATGCAGCACCTCTGCAGGGGTGAAGGTTGAGGGACCCCAGCTCGATCACAGAAGGAAGACCTAAGCCTCCTTGAGATGGAAAATGGGACTGCGTGGTTTTGGTTGGGTGTGCGTTTCAGGGAGGGAGGAGAGCAGAGGAAGCCTGACTTCCTCCTTCCACCAGAGACAAGTGATGCCCCATCTGCTGATAAGAAATCACGTGCCAGTGACTCGTGGGCTGAAATGCCTTAACCAGGGCTTGGGGACAGTTAATCGTGTAAAATCAGGGCCCCGTGGGAGCTGCTGTTCTGAACTCTTCACATGGTGGTAGTGAAGGGGCCTCCCTTGCCTGCACAGGCTGTCACTGAGCATGAGGCTCATCTTCAAGGGGCCAAGAGCCACTTCTAACCATTCATTGGCATGTGCCAACCATAACCCTCTCCAGTCGTGTGGTCTTGGGCTGGAGATCTTCCCTGAGCAGGGGAATAGAGGCTGTTCCCATTCAGGTTGCCTGCTCCAGTTTGGCTGTTTTCTCACTGCTCGCCCCGCTGTACGAGGGTGTTGCCAAACCCCTGTGCACCTGGGGGAGTGCTCAGAGCGTGACAGCGAAGATAAAAGAAAGGGAAGGAAGGACAAAGAAACAGAGGACTGGAGAGACTCGGTTTTAGGAGAAGGATTAAAGAAGCCAGATGCAGGGAGCACACCTTGTTGCTGGTCAGGCTGGGAGTCCCCCTGCTTTGCTGGGCTGTTGCCAGCTGCCCAGCAGTGGGATGGCCACAGTTAATGGAAAGTGGAGATGCTCTTGGTTTTACCAGAGAGTCTTCAAAAACCTTGCTTGACTGCCAGGATTCAAGTCCATCCCAAGTTATTCCCTAGCATGCTGCTAATTGTGGGGCATTGGAGAAAGTGAATCCTAACATGGGTCTGCCAGGAGGGAGATTTTCCTGTGTCCAGTTCCCTGTCCCTGAACTTTCAGCTCTTCCTCTGTGTGTGCTCAGGAGTTTGGTAAACAGGAGAGCATGGTGTCCCTCTAAGCAAGGCCAGGCAGCTCTGCACAAGTTGCTTTGGAATGCCCCAGAAGTTTCTGGCTGCTGCAGGGGTCACACACATACAGCCCTGGAGTAAAATGGGTAAGTCCTGGCAGCCTTCTGAGCTCGTGCAGGCAGGAGGTTTTTTTCCCTGTTTGGATGACTTCAGCCTGGCCTGGAGGAAGTTTATTCAAACTTTCCACCTGCCTAGGTTTGCCTCGGAGCTGGGGATAAACACAGGGAACTTCAGCACAGAGGAAAGGAAAGAATGGCTGGAAATTTCCGTATCCTGGGATGCAGAAGCTTGGCTGTAACAGATCAGCCAAGGGGCAGAGGGCTTCAGGTCCTTGCACTCTGCAGGCAGGCTTGACTGCTG